ATGGAAGGTAATTAAAGACTTTGTGCAATCATATGATATTTGTTTAAGATCCAAATTCCTTGTTATTGACCTTATCGACTCCTTCATCTATTATCTATTTCAAAATAACCATCATCTTTTATTTCTATGAATTTTATCATGGATTTTTCAATCTCAGATTTGTATAATTCTATATTCATGATAGTAGATCATTTTACCAATATAGCATATTTTGTACTATATACAAAATCAATCACATGTGAAAAAATAACTAATCATTTTTTTGACAACATCTATTACTATCATAGATTGTTTAAAGATATTATATTGAATATAAATACTCAATTTGTATTAAGATTTTAGAGAACCTTTTTTAAGATTTTAAAAATAGATATAAAACTTTCTTTGGATTTTTACCTTTAAATTAATAGACAAATAGAATGGATAAATCAAGTTCTAGAGTAATATTTAAGATATACTATCAACTTTCTTTAAAATGATTAAATTATTCTTTTTTTATTGATAGAGTTTTTATATAATAATTTGATACATTCTTCTATTTAACAAATATTTTTTTTATCAATTATCGTTACCATATACAATTTGATGCTTTTGACTTTTTAAAAGTTAAAAATCCTATGACAAAAGATTTAAAAAATTGTTTATTAGAGCTACATGCAATAATAAAGGTACAATTAAATGAAGCTCAAGAATAATAAAAGATTAATGTAGATTCCTATTATAAGGAAAAATAACAATTCAATATGAGTGATAAGATATGATTACTTTATTGTAATATCTAGACTACTTGTCTTTCTGACAAGTTATACTATTGTAGATTTAGATCTTTTTCTATTTGTAAATAAATCAATTTTATTGCTTATTGATCACAACTACTAGAATCTATGAAGATCCATCTTGTATTTTATATGTCTATTTTTGAGCCATATAAAATAATTAATATCTCAAAAAGAAGAAAAATTCTACTTCTTTTTATAGAAGTGGATAATAATCAAGAGTTTGATATGACAAAAATCTTAGATTTAAGGAAATGCCAAAGTAGTTTAAAATATCTTATTTATTAATGCAAATATAATATTAACACATGCATATGGGAGCCAACAAAAAATCTTGCAAATACAATAAAGAAGATTGAAGCTTTTTATTGACGATATCTATTAAAACCAAGATAAAAAATAATAAGATTCATGAAAGATGGTGACCACTCCTTATAGAACTCGTCTCTAGAAGAAGAGGCAATTTCACTAAAATATATATTTATTCCAATAATTATCTATATGATTAGATATAAGTAAATAAATATAAATTAATTTCATAATATCTTTTAGAAAATCTTCTTAGAAGCTTCATAGATGTACTTTTGATTTTAAATATTATCATATGGCATGATTTATAATCTAAAAATATACTAGATGCTTAGTATAAAAGATTTAGCTTTAATTTGTTGGCTAAGCTTCAATAAGTGATTTATTCTTAATATAAAAAATAAATAAATAAATAAATATCAAAAGATATTCTACTAGAAATATTAAAGAAGATTTGTACATAAGGCTTTCTAAAGCATCTAGAAATTTTCTAACATCTTTTGCTATATCAAATTATAATTAATCATTTGTCAATAAGTTGGATTTTTAATAATTTCAAAGAAAATCTGTAATCTCTTTTCAAAACTCATCTTTATATCATAATATTGTAATAGCTATATATCTCCATCTTTGACATATATAAAGTCTTTGCTTCTATAAATCCCTTTACTTTACATAAAATACTCAAATTTTAGTAAAATCTTTTCAAAATATTTTTTTTCCACAAAAGATCTTTTTTTCCTAAATTTAAGAATTCCATATCTCTTGATCCAACTATTTAATTTTTTAAAAATTTCTAGATAATATATCATTTATTCTTAAGTTTTACTACAAAAATAATGAATTATAAATATATTACAGTTTGTCTAGCATCTTAAAAATCCTAGCAAGTACTCTAAACTCTAATTTACAGGCACCCAAGTATTATTTTTTTTCATATTTCAAAAACCTAAAACTTAAATGACACAAACTTTAATATATAACTTTACAACATAATAATATATATTTTAAAAAATAAAAATAACTAAAGATTTGTCCAAATGCTTAAGATATGGCTAGAACCAAATCCCTCATGAATTTGGTTTATTAACTAACTTCAATTTAAAAGTATTTTCTTCCAAAATTCATTTCTCTTCCAAATCAACTCCAAACCTTTTGCATTTTTCATGCAAAATATAGCTCTTTAAAACAACTTTCTAACAAGACAATTTGATCCTCAAAAGCCCTTCATATGCTTGTGTTATACTCTAAAGAGCAATAGTAGGTACAAATTCATTACTTTAACTTTGAGCATCTATATCTCCTTCACAAAAACTCCAAATTATACAAAAATTTTACCAAAATCATATCTAAAATCTTTAAAATAACAGTATTAATCTTTGATATTTGAATCTTCCAAAAGAGTAATCCTAATCCTTAATAAGGCATCAAGTAGTCTCCTTCAAGCCCTTTGGACATGAATTTTGGCCAATAGGAATGGAGATTTTTATTATCCATCTCCATTCATCCATATAGAAGGCCTAATTATCTTTTTTTTACATAAAAATTCTTTTTCAATCATTTTTTTAATAATTTTTACATGATTTATGTCCTAAAAACTAAATAAATGAAAGAAACTAAGATTTCAAGAATCACCAATATCTAATAAAGGTGGCTCTAAATATATAAAACTATTATCAATATAAAATCAACTTCAATAGTAGACCTTTTAGACTAACTACTTCAAAGTAGCAATCCAACCACATTTTGTAATTAACTAAAATCTAATAATGTAGCTTTTACTACATTGTATAGTAAATTATACATTAAATATATATGAAAATTATTTTCACATGATAACCAAAGCACAATAAAATAACATATTTGTAGTTGATTGATAGATTAATAACTTCGTCAACAAGTTAACTATGTACCATACATGTTGATAACTAGTAGAATAAGTTAACTATGTACCATACATGTTGATAACTAGTAGAATAAGTTAACTATGTAGTGCACACATAGAAAATTTGCCTTGCAAGTTAAGACATGTGTCTAACAAAGTTAATACATGTTAGTGGTCTTATAGAACATTGCCATGTAGATCTTAATTATATAGTATATATAGAGGCAAGAATAAAGCTTTCTTTACACTTGACAATGCCTTTTTAGTCCTTATTCTTTTTTTAAGTCTTTCTAGTCTACTTATCTTTGGCAATAGCCATTCTAATTTAATACTATATCATCTTTGAGTGATTTTTTAGTCTTTTTGAGTGACACAAAAGTATATTGAACTTGACTTCTTTAAAGTTCATATCCTTGACATAAGTTGGCTACATGTTGCACATATCAACCACTTATGATACAAGTTTGTTATAAGAGGTAAATTTCAAAAAATTGCATTGCAAGTTAGACATGTGTTAGATAATCTATAAGACATTGTCAAGTAGTTTTTAATTAAATAGTACATATAGAAGTAAGAGTGAAGTATTTCTTACTTTTCTCAATGTTTTATTTGTTCTTAGTATTATTTTAAGAATCTTTAATCATCTTGTCTTTAGCATTAGTCATTCTAATTTTAATATTAATTTTATTTTAGAGTGATTATTTATTCTTTTCTAATGATAAAAGATTGTATTGACTTTTTGATTGTTTTGAGATTCATGTTCTTGACACTTAAATAAAAATCCTTAGTTTTAAAAATAATATAAGTAGAAATAAGATTAATGCTTCTTTTATCTTGACATCATATTTCTATAATTACTTCTTTTTTTGACTTATAAAAATTATTTTATATTAGCATTAATTCTTGAGTATTATATTCTTTTTTAATCTATTCTTTTCTCACACATCTTAAACTTTTTATTTCAAATCTATCTTTTGTCTTACTAACACCTTTTTATTGTTTTAGTCTTAGTTTAAAAGATTTATGTATTATATATTTGAAAATAATCTCTTTTCTTTTTGTAAAAAAAATAGAAATAATATATTTTAATATTTTATATTTAATTATAAATTAAATAAATTTACTAATTTATTTTATAGATACTTTTTAACTTAAGTACATTATATGAAATAATATTTATTAAAAATAATAGATTTAAAAAATTATGTGTTTAAAATTTTAAAGCTATATATATATATATATATATATATATATATATATATATATATATATACTTTAATATATAAATATTATCATATCATATAAAAATATTTTTCAAAAGCAACTTATAAATTAAATTTTAAAATTTTAATTTAAAAAATATTTAAATTTTAATTACAAGTCAAATAGAATACAAATATCTATTAATAATAATCAAATTTCTTGTGATTTAAGATAAAAACTTTAAAAGCATTTAATCTAAATTTTAAATTTTAAATTTCTTTTTAAACATCTACATCTTAGATCTAATAAAATAAATTTAAAAATTTAGAATATAAAGTTGTAAAATACAAATGAATAAGGTTATGTCAATTTTTAGTGTTGTAATATTAAATATAGAATATGTCAATACTAATATCAATTACTATATTCTCCACATGACCTCTACATAGACAACTTGCTAATAACATGTTTCTTTCTTTTGTGCATTTTTTCCTTTCTTTGTTTTAAAAAAGAATGGTGGTTGAAAAGGAGATAATGAATATTTTATAAAAAAAATAAATCACAAAATAATTTTTAAAATACATATATATATATATATATATATATATATATTTGCCTCAAAGATTATTTAATTCAAAAAAAAATAATCATAAACCTAAAACATAAATAGATTTTTTACTTATTCTATTTTTGAATCAATATTGGAATTAAATATGAGATTGTCAAATGCATCATATTAGAAGCATGTTTTTTGGTCAATTTAAGTTGCGTGGAAGTCATGTGGAATGTAGCAATACCAATTTGGGAATGTTGTGTTAACAATTCTCTAAATATAACAAGAATCATAATTTGAAATCAAAATTAGTTTTTTTACAAGGGTGTGTCTACATAGGTGTGTGGAATGAAAATGCATCCACCTAACAATTTCCTTAACATGCATATTTTAATACTGGATTTGCAATGGTCTATGGCTTTAAGATTTTCATATTGACAACCAAATGATTTAAATATCATTTAGGCCCACATGAATGTATTGTATGTATACATATATATATATATATATATATATATGAAAGCTTAAGCCAAAGAACTAGTCATGCAGAGTAAGGTGTAGTTGCCATGTGCACCTGCTCAAACGTGAAGCTTTGAGAATGTGATATTTCTGAAGCTGCAGAAGGGCAATCCAGTATTAAAATATGCATGACATCAAATCAATTTTGTAAAATCGAAAAGTGTACACAACAGATGCACAGATTTTTCACGAAGCTCTCTTTCATGAAAAGTGCAACATTACACGATACTCTAACTCATTTCCCGGACAATGACCACAAAATCAAGTGTGACAATGATATCATCCACTTGCTTGAAAGGCACTACGACAATGCCAGTGAGACATGAACAATAGGGCAACAATTGAAGTAGATTACCTCTTCGACACATGAATAAATCTGTGATGCAGAATCCTGGCTCTGCTCTCTATGGCAAGTTCGTCCAAGTTACCTATAACTTGTCCTAGGGGTTAAAGCAGACACCCAGAGGCTGAGCCTGGATTCATCCTTTCCATGGTTGAGCACAAACACCATGACAAGGTCTTGCGATTTGATCAACCTTCTGTTAGGATGATGAGGAGGGATGATAAGTTTCAGTGATGTGAGCCCCGAAGGTGAAGCTGGGTTCACTCTGGAGGAGATTCAGGATCCGAAATTCTAGCTGCTGCAGAAAGCCTCGTGCGAACAAATTGCAAGTTTTTGCTGACCTCCATCCATGCATTCAACTTAGGAGCAGCAGGTGGAATTGCCTCCTTTTGTGGCGCTGACGGAGTTTGGGTTGCAACAGAAATAGAAGGTTGTGAATGTACATGTGTGCTGTACTTGCGGTGAATTCCAACTTGAGGTGAAGGAGTTGGTTCCACATTGACGACTTGGGGGAAGTGTTCTAGAAATTTCTTGAGCATACGGGGGCTGAATGTGGTGGCATCAGCCCCTGATTTGGGCGGAACTGCAACACAGCATTGTGACCTTCCGACATGAGTTGAACGAGATTATTTCCTGGATTCAAACTAGATTGAAAATCTGTTTACTATCAAAGCAAGTAGTACACATCTGCTTAAAAAAAGATCTGCTTCCTAATCACATACATACTACATGAACACGGACTTCTAGCAGAAGCTTTACAGCAGGATTGTGAACATGACGACGCTATTTCCAGTTCTAGACATTCCTCATCTCCTCCGCAATAGAAATCATACTTCTGTGTGCTTACTGGGCTTTGAAGGTTCAACGATTGACGCAGGCTTACCATGGATGGCGCTTTTAGTGGGCTTGGACTTGGTGGGAGGAGAGTAACACATGTGTCTCCTCTCCACTCTGTTCCGAAGGCGATAGAACCTCTGGCCCATCGTATACATGGGGCCAGCAAATTCTGAAGAGCGAGATCTGTGTGTTTCAAGCCCGGGTGAAGAGGGCTGGAACAAGCAAACACCTGGTTTGTCAGAGATGCTGTATCTGGCGGAGACAGGTGCAGACCATGGAATCTTGGAACCAAGAGTGCAAGGTGCTCCGTTTCTAAACCGTCTTCCCATAGTGATACATTTTCCAACAGATTGGAGTGAAATCTCATCCCGCAAGTCATATGTTCCTGGTCCTGGGACTCCCCCATCGGGGAAGTACATAATCTTCTCACCCATTGAGTGGCATGGACCTCGAATATTTGTACAATTGTGGTGGTGAGTGAGATCATAAGTCCCTGGACCAGGCAAATTCAGCGGGCTGACTTTATAGCAGCGGATCCCCATCGTATGCTTCGGACTGTCGTTCAAATCTTTCCGCATGTTATAAGTTCCTGGTCCAGGTTTATCATGGTCAAACCACAAGTCAGGGCGCAACCCCATGGAATATCCAGGTGCATTCAATAGAACATGTTTGTAGTTCAAGTAATAAGATCCTGGTCCTGGATTGTCCTCACGATCATCAAAGCCCATCGACATGATGAAATGTAATTATTCAGCTTTTAGAGAACGTTGGATCCAGGCCAGATGTTCAGCAACGCTTGGTGAGCTTCATGTGGCAGGCCAGTCCATGGTCAGGGTGTTCGTCTGGTGGGTGGAATTCCAACATTTCTGTAAATGTCAGCCTCCTGGTACGATTCTGGTCATCAATGCTACCATCACTTTAAGTTGAAAGATGTAACGTGCACTTGACCAGAAGTATGGCCAAACAGCATTAGATAAGGCGCCACAGAAACTGGAGAATGGAAGAGGGAGTGATGAAGTGCCACAGAAACTGGGGAATGGAAGAGGGAGTGATGAAGTGCCACAGAAACTGGGGAATGGAAGAGGGAGTGATGAAGTGCCACAGAAACTGGGGAATGGAAGAGGGAGTGATGAAGTGCCACAGAAACTGGGGAATGGAAGAGGGAGTGATGAAGTGCCTCAGAAACTGGGGAATGGAAGAGGGAGTGATGAAGTGCCTCAGAAACTGGGGAATGGAAGAGGGAGTGATGAAGTGCCTCAGAAACTGGGGAATGGAAGAGGGAGTGATGAAGTGCCACAGAAACTGGGGAATGGAAGAGGGAGTGATGAAGTGCCACAGCTACATCAAATGTCACGACGGTTGAGCACCTCTTCAGAAGCGTCTTTGAAATGGGTTTGAAAGAACAGAACGCTGTAAGCATCACTAACAGGTAAGGAATGAGCCAACGCAAGGATAAACAATCTTAACTAAGTCTACATCTACCAAATCACCAAAACCAGAAATTCTGGTCTAAAAGAAGTTAATATCATTTGCCATGAGTACATCAAATCTATCTTCTCTCGCTGAATGAGAGACAAATTCCAGTGATATCTGAAGGTGGAAAGTTGATTTGGGCCAGTGGCATTATTATTAGCTAGGGTTTAACAGAAAGTTTCGTACCCAGCATTCAGAAAATTTGGACCAACATCTCATTCATAGAGCAGGATAACTAGCATGTAGCGAATAGATGGATGATAAAAAGTGACAATCCGTAAGGGTGTTTAAACACAAGAGAACCAACTCCAGTACACCTGAAGCTTCATTACTCACACCAGTATGTAGATTGCGTATTTAATTTAGGATATTCAATCACAATGAAGGGAGCACAGGTTCTCCTGGACATAGCACACTGCAACCTTTTACAAGGCCCAGGGTCTAGAAAAGCTTGAAAACATGAAAGGACCTCCTCACGCTTCTCAATACGTATTCGTACAACTCAAACATTAGCCTGAACAAACTCGACTAACGAAGCCCAACACAAAGGTTGCCTATCAGAATGAGGTGGTGATGCCCATGTAACGACATCAAATTATTGGATTCACTTTGACAAAGTCGATGTGCACAGCACATTCACGGTATAGCAAAGCCATACTGTCATTGGCACCTCCTTCAGGAAACCTAGGATACGATATATAGACGTCGTAAAGCTAAAACTCACGAAACACTACAGAATAGCCTCATATCAGTGTAGAGAGGCCTACATAGAAAACTCCAACTCTGGCTTTGTGACAGACTTCGAACAAATGTGATCATATATTTATAACAGGGTAGGGATAGTCTACAACGAAATAAGCTAGCTAGGATTCCGTCGCATTTGTTGCCCCGGTTAGAGATGAAGCAATTCCATGTTAAACACAGTCAGACTAACTTGAGAGCTGAAGAAGCATGACACTTAAACGATATGTCTCTGTTAGCTGGTTAATTGGTACTGTGTGTCAGCTATACAGGTTAGTCAAATCATAGTAGAGCCCTTAACGCCAAGCTTATGCTCAAGTATGGCGTGAAGTCAAACATGCCAAGGATATCGATTAACCGTGTGGCACTTATGATGTCAGTTAGAATTAGAGTCTGCAATTATCCACAATCATGGACGCTACAGACATATCAGTCAGCCACACAATTGCATGGCCAAAGATTAGTGACCGAGGTGATCGAGATGGACAACCTGCCCACCTCCCCAAAGTGGGACCCTCTTTGTGGCTTTAAAGCCGACTCGGGGCTAGAGTTGGCAGCAGAAGTCGCTGCACTCAAAGTTATCAAGTGGATGAATTCATCCACATGTAAGCAATCGCGGACCAGACACATCATGGATGTGCGACACGTGAATAAAGCTCTTTGGGTAAGACGACGCTGTCTCTTACCCTGAGCAGGACTTCTCCCCTATATGAGCAATACACAAAGGTGAGAAGAGGACGTCTTTGCAGCATCTGCTGCGACAATTACGGGTTCCCGACAATGGAACCCAGACCCCACAAAGTGATGACAGTTAGAACGAGTAGAGTTCAGAACTGACAGCACTAAGCGCAGAATAGTTCGGTTAGAGAATGGTAGATCCCACAACCAAGCCTTGTGCTCAGCCACCGCTTAGGCGCCCGTATCTCTTTAGGACCAGACACTTTCCTATCGTAACCAACGTTTTAGGTCACAGCTGCGAAGTATCAGTAGATGAATAGCCTGCCTCAGCAATCTCTCCTTGTTTCAGATTGACAGCTTTTCAGGCCAATTTTCATCCTGCGCCCCAGCAATAGAGTATTATAACTTTTACTCATTTCTAGATCGGAGAATATCAGGATGGGCAGATGACTACTCGGGCACTAGATGGGTGACTACTTGAATTACCCATATAGTAATCGAAACAAGCAAAACCCTGGTTCACATCCTATGCATTGCTGAATATAAGCTGTGCATCACTACAGTACAGTAAGCATACCTTTCAGCCGAAGTTAAAGCCACCGGGCGGAGCTCCTGCGGCACTGCTAGTACCAAAGGCGAAACCTTGACCCTCCGTTCCAGGTGCAAAATTCTGATCTTCGTCCTCTTCTAGCCAGTAAGTCTCCAGAATTTTCACAGCCTTCTCGTAGATTTCGTTGTTGTCGTGAGTCTGCAAATTCTCGATCTTCTCCAAGCCCTCAGCTTCATCAATGTAGCGAGCGTAGAGATTGATACCACCACTGTTACCAAGATCCTTCTCCTGCTCTCCAACCTTCAAAATATTTTCCAGGCCTTCAAGAGAAACTGTAACAATTCTAGGGTCTGGGCAGGTCAATAAATCACATAGTGGCTTGATGCAACCTTGGGTGACAAGGTACTTGATCTGCTCGGGACTACCACCAGATGTAGCGTTTGAAATGGCCCAAGCGGCCTCCTTCTTAATATCGAACTCTGCAGTAGCAAGCAGAGAAACAAGAGGTGGAATAATGTTGGCGTCGATTACAGCCTGCAGAAAATAATCCACGACATCAGTAACATTACCACTCAGTTAAGGATTGATTGGGACCAACCAAATCTAAACCAAAGTTTGATCATAGAACAGATTTTGAGTTCGTACCATAATCTGATCCTTGTTTCCAGCAGTGATGTTGGAGATAGTCCAGCAGGCTTCCTTTTTAATGCTTTTCTTGTGGTTGTTGGTGAGAAGAGCGAGAAGACACGGGAGGGCCTGATTGTTGATGATGAACTGATACAAAACAGCAATAGAGGAAAGTACACAAATTTCAGGCCGTCCCCCTTATTTCCTTACTGAATTTTAAAAAACACGTATTGCTACCAAAAAGAGGACAGTAGCACCTCAAGATAAGGTGCAATAAATGCCTTTACATAATAAGTACATTATCGACATTCTTACTGGGAGGGTGCTGTCAGCCCACTCCTGAAAGGATATGATCTTCGTACTAAAAACCGAAATAATCCCGTAGAAGTCAAATCAAAGCATGCATACCTGCGTCTGGAGATCGTCACCAGTAACAATATTGCCGACAGTGCGCAGTGCAGGAATGAGAACAGAGGGTGATGGATGGCTGCTACGAACGACAAAGCCAATACTCAGTTCTGAAGTAACTTCTCGAGCACGCTTAATTCAAACAATCGTGTCATAAAATACTAGCTAGAAAGAAAACGAAGATAAGAACACAAAAGGGAAAAATAAGACCCATACAGCAACAGCTCCACAAGTCGACGACAGACACCAGCTTCAATCACAGCCTGGATTTTGTCGTTTGTGCCATCGGACAAATAAGAAAGGGCCCAACACGCATCCGTGAGAACCTCTTCGTCGTTGGAATGGATGAGACGCTCCAAGGCGGGCAGCGCAGGTTTGGACTGCAAGAAGAGATTCGCAAAATTGAATCAATTTGGGATTTGGAATCGAAACAACTTTCGATCTAAAGCGCGATACCAGCGCCAGCCTTCTAATTCTACAGCAAAAATTTGTTTGCATTGCATTCTCTACAGGAATTCTCCAGAAAATGATAGTCATTCATCCTTCGGTAATTGCAATGAGTGATTGTAGATAGAACAAAAAACAAAAACAAAAAATACACACCTGCTCAAATGGTGGCTGCGGCTTGCCCCGGCAAAAATTAGAGAGCGTCCACGTGGCGTTTCTGAGCATAGAGAGTTTCGTATTGTCGGTGAGCTGGGCAAGCAGTGGCATCAAGGCCCCGTGACTTAAAACAAGGTCACGGCATTTAGGCGAATCACCCGCGACGTTTCCCAAAGCCCATACTGCCTGCAAAGGATTATGAAAGTAGTCACAAGACTGAAGAATATAGAATATCCTGGCTTAAGTGTGACAGCCACTTTTAAGGCCCAAATACAGATGCACCCCATCACAAAATTCAATTCTCATAGATAAAGTCGATAAAGAAAGCAGAGGATATTTAGTGTAATACGCGTTATAAGTGCAAAGAAGTCCCTATTAAATTCAAGTAAACACAGCTGGCGTGGGCTGAAGACATAAATTCATGGAGAAACGAGGGATGCAGTGATACACCAGATAGAAATCTGAAGCAAAACTATCCATTAGATGCAGAACACCTGGCAGTTAAGCAGTAATATCCCAAAATCATTCAATTCATACCTGCTCACGAACATCGTCACTAGGAGAGCTCAGAAGCTGAACAAAGATAGGAACAGCCCCATGCTCAATCACAACACGAGTGTGATCAGATGTTCCGGATGCAATGTTAGTCAACGCCCATGCTGCCTCAAACTGCGAAGGCCATTCAATGTGTGAGATCATCATGTCACCCTCTTGTCGCAGGGCTTAATAATAAACTATTCTAATGAGGTCAACAGCAGGGGTAACACAGACAGGTACCTGTAACTGTGGGAAATCGCTTCGAACTAGAAATTCAACGAAACGAGGTACGACACCTGCTGAAATTACTTCTTCGATAGGGGGGCTACGCTCTGCAAACAGAAATAGGTTAAAGACCAATATGCCCACCGAAGTAGAAATATCCCTATGCAATAAAAAATGAACGTTAAGCCAAAAAATCAAGTCTACAGAACCTGGTCATACCAATAGACAGAAGCTTGCGAAATTGTGTGGTTGCTTCCAATTGAATGGCAGGATCATCAGAATGTAAACCAGCGACCATCCCTGGAAGACTCTCGAGTTGCTGCAATGGCGAGGGTAATTAAGTGTATGACTCGAACACTTTGGAATAAACATCAACTAGCACAAATTCAAGGGCACGAGTACGAAAGGATCCAGAGGGGGGCACACATATCAGCAGATCCAGTTCGAGTCGCACCTCCGAATACAATGATACCGATCAGATGCAAATGAATAAATAAACATTTAAAAATCCACAGAAATTTTCAAACTTAGGTTAACACTACCCCCCCCCCGAAAAAAAAAATCAAATCAAATCAAATCAAATGACCCACCTTCTTGTCGGAAATGGAACTCGTAACGGACGAAATGCGCTGCTGCTGCTGAAGCATACCATCCCTGCGCTTCTTCAAAAGGCTCTCCTCCCGCTTGCTCTTCCGAATCTCCACCATGTTATCCTCTCTCTTCCTGCGAGCTTCATCGGCATCGACTGCCAGCTTGTACCCCTTCTTACGAACCTCTACGCGGGCATTAGGTCGGAGAGACATCCTGACCGAGACCGTAACAACAAAACCAAAAAAAAACTATATGTATATATATATATGTATATATATATATATCCACTATACACAGAAACAAGCCCAATACATCACGAGGAGACGAGAAAACGAGCTCAAAAGAACGGCAGCGAGTAACTAGGAATTCGCGAATCCAGAGGAAGTGTGTGAGACACGGGATTTTCCAGGTGGAGTAGAGGAGGTTACAGAAATTGGGGCAGAGGGAAAGAGGGAGGTATGGAGGAAAAGGGTACCGGGGGCACTTGAAGGGACTTGCGACGAGTGATGATGCTCCTCCGCACTATGTAGAATCTTCTTCCTCACTTACAGAAGCCCCTTTGACACCCTGGAATGACCCCGACCTTTTCACGCCTGGAATCTCCCCCCCCCCCCCCCCTCCTGGTTCCTCCGTCCGATCTAGGGCGAATGAGCCCCTTGAATTGTGACCGTCCGACATGGCGTTAGCCCTGCGCGGTTCACATCTTAGTTGTTGCTGCACGCGTAGACCTTTTCCCATTGGCCCTAAATTCGTTATTTTTCGTCATCGCTTCGATCGTTGCGTGGCTTTTTGTCTGTTTTTTCCCTGTTTGAGCTGTGGTCTTGTTCGTCTATTTGTGGTGTGTCTTTAAAACAGTTTACGGTAAGCCAAAGTACCCTAACCCTTGCAGTGTTGGACAATGTCTTCAGTAGACTTGATGTTTTGGTGCATTTCTTAATGAGTTTTGTAGAACATTCTATGGAATCTGACAGGAGTGCATTTTAAGAAATTAAACATGTATGAATAGGGAATTTTGATGATGATTAGGATGGATGGATCGATTTAGTAAATTTTTGCATCAATTTAATATTCTCCTTTATATATTACTATATATAGAGATAATTCATTTTGAATATTAGTTCCATGATGACACTATGAATTTTATTTTAACAAAAATCTTAAATTAACTCATTTGATAAATTATATTTTTTGATAAATTGATTTCTAGTTCTTAATAATTTTATTGGCATTTTGAATAAAAGATATGCATACATGAATTCATAATTAAATTGTATTTTTTTTGTAATTGGCATAATTAATACCAAGGTAAAAATAGTATTATAAAAATCTTCCATTCTTTTGAATAACACTCACAACTACTCTATATGTTACTCAAATTAAATAGAGTTTTAATGTTATTATTATAGAATAATTAAATATTATTAATATTGAAAATTACTACTATTGCAATAATCAAAACACAAACTTTATGAGAATTCAAATACAAATTTAAAATGGTGTAAAACCACAACAAAACAAAAAAAGAAAAAATTATAGAAATTGTAGAAGAAAGAGGATTTTTTTATATTTTATATTTCTAAGTTATAAGTTATTTTTTATTATAATAATTGCATTCAAATAGTAAATGCAAAAAAAATAAAAATTTTACAATATAGAAGGACATAGAAAGACACACCAAAACAATGAGAATCAAATAAACATTACAAAGTAGAAAAGAGTTAAGGAAGATGACTCTACTTAATATAGAGCAATTGACACAAATGTTTGTAAACTTATGCATAGAGATGTAGTTGTAATTATTTTTTTCTTGCAAATATTATGGATTTTTTTTTTTTGGAATAGAAAAAATTGGATATATTACTTTTTAAACTCTAAAATTAAAAAAAGCACATATATTGATTGAAAAAATCATATTTAAATATAATTTTTTTTAATCTAATACTTACTATTTTGAGAAAATAACTAAATTTATTTAGAAAAAATCTATTTATGAAAGATTGCAAGTAAAAAAATAGAAAATATATTTTTTGGAGAATTTTTATAAGTTGAAGAATATATATTAAAAATAAAACATCATTGTAGTATTATATAAGATATCAAGTAATTGTTATAAAATTTTAGTATATATATATATATATATATATATATATAAGCGAATGTCACGGCCATAATCATGTAAGCTAATAATTACATATAGAAATAGGTAGAAGTAAGTAAAAGTAGATAAAAGTAAGTTAATTGTATAATATTTAATATAGAAGCTTCCTAAAAACTTCCTAGACGCTGCTTTGACTTCATAGGTGTCTTTAATTGACTTTTTGGATTAGAAACGTGGTCAACAAGTTGGCCATGTGCCACACATGTTGTTAGCTTGAAGATCAAGCTAACTATGTGGCCTACACGTAGAAAAACTTGCCTTGTAAGTCAAGGCATGTGTCCTACAAAGTCAACACATATTGGAGGTCCTATAGAACGTCGCCACGTAGCCCCTAGTTAGATAGTATATATAGAGACAAGAGTGAAGGCTTCTTCACTCTTGTCAACTCCTTTCTTGCTTCTAGTCCAGGTTCAAGAGTCTTTAGTTTCTTGTCTTGTGGCAATAGCCATTCCAGTTTCCTTTTAATATACCTACTTGTTTATATTTTGACTTATTATATCGAGATAGCCTTTTGGTGTATATTTTTCCTCATCGAGTCTTTGTCCTTGACAGATTGACAAGAGTACACTTAGAATATCAGAGCTTTGTTTTTCTTGAGTGAGAGTGGATTACCCCTTCCTCTTGACAAGACATAAGCGTATTAGAAGTTTGCGGATTACCCACTTCTAAACTGATATTGTTCTTAGTATCTTCTTTGTTATCAAGTCTTTCTTTTCTTTTGTCTTGAGCAATATCAAACAAATTTTTCTTCTTAGTGTCATTATGGCAGAGCTTGTTGAAATGAAGAGTGCAATGGCACAAATGCAAGAGCAAATGAGGGAGTTAATGCTTGCGATGCATCAACTCAATTCACCAACACAGGAAAGAACAAGAATAGCAGAAAGTGGAGATATAGAGATGATCGGAGCTGCTTCAACATCTACAACAAATCACGTTCCTTCTCCAATTGTACAACACCCTATAAGCACTAGAGAACCAAGAATTGCCTTACCTGAGAAATTTGATGGTACGAGATCAAAGTTTCGAGGGTTCATCAATCAAGTACAATTGGCAATTGAACTTCAACCGCAAAGCTATCCAACTCCAGGATCACAAGTCAGGTTTATTCGCACTCTACTTTCTGGTTCTGCATTATCGTGGTTTTCGTCTTTTCTTGAACAACGAAATCCAATATTGGACAATTTGAAAGCTTTTTTGGCGGAGTTTCGATCTATGTATGGTGAACACGATGCAACTCGTGTTGCAACAAATAAGATCCGAATTCTGCGACAAGGAAATCGCTCAGTAACAGTATATGCTTCACAATTTCGACAACTTGCAATTGACATCAAGTGGGATGATGCTGCACTCATCAGTCAATTTCTTTATGGATTGCAATACGAAGTAAAGAAATTGATGCTCAACTTACCTGATCCTCAAACTTTGAGTCAAGCAATCGATTTTGCGGTAAAATGTGATAATCGACTTTTTGAATTTCGATCTGAGAATCATTCACGGGAACCTCAACGTTATTACTCAATGGCAACATCAACATCTTTGCCAAACGTACATTCGGAAGTAGAAGACATGCAAATTGACGCGGTACGTTTTAAACCTCTAACTGAGCAAGAAAAGATTCGTCGTCGTCAAGAAGGATTATGTTTATATTGCGGAGAACCTAAGCACACTGCTCAACATTGTCCAAAGAAACGACGCAACTATAAAATGAGGGGTACGACAGTCAAAGAAGACAACATGTCGGAAAACGGATTCGTCCAGCTACAATAGGGACCGTGCAGCTGGAACCTTGTACAATTCCTAATGAAGGTCCTATCCTCTCCTCAGAACCCTCTCCTTCTTTTATAATAGACTTATATTTAGGACCTAAGAATTACAAAGCCTCTGCTTTATTAGATTCGGGAGCCTCAACATGTTTTTTAGATGAACAATTTGTTAAAAGTCGTAAAATACCCTATGTACAGAAACCTAAACCAGTACATGTAGAAGTCATAGATGGTCGTCCCTTGTCTTCTGGAGATGTCACTCATGAAACTCATCCTATAAAAGTAACAATAGACGGTCATGATAGCTACATAGCTTTTAACATAATTAAATCCCCGTCCAATCTAGTTATTTTAGGTTTATCCTGGCTAGAAAAATATAACCCTCGAATAGATTGGAATTCGCGTAAACTTGACTTTTCCAAAAGCGTTATTAATAGTTCTACGAACCAAGTAAAAAATTATAAGTCTAGTACAGTAAAACCCGTACTGATAGGTGCAAAAGCATTTATACACGCAGCAAAAGAATGATCAACTTTTGCTATTTATGCTGCACCTATTTCTGAAAACGTAAAGACTTCAAGTGGCATTCCAAGTCAATATCAGGAGTATCAAGACGTTTTTGAGAAAAAGAATGCAGATATTCTTCCTGAGCATCGTCCATATGATTGTTCAATCGACCTCAAGGAAGGAACTCAGCCACCATTTGGACCAATTTACAGTTTATCGCAAGATGAGATGGCTGAACTCAAGACATATATTGACGAGAATTTAGCGAAGAATTTCATACGCCATTCAAAATCTCCAGCAGGAGCTCCAATTCTATTCGTAAAGAAAAAAGATGGATCTTTACGAATGTGTGTTGATTATCGAGGACTCAACAAGATCACAATCAAGAACAGGTATCCATTACCTTTGATATCAAGACTCCTTGACCAGTTGAATCAAGCTAAGATCTATACAAAAATAGATCTAAGAGGAGCATATAATCTAGTACGGATCAAAGAAGGAGATGAATGGAAGATTGCGTTTCGAACCAGGTATGGACATTTCGAATATAATGTCATGCCCTTTGGACTCACGAATGCACCAGCTGCTTTTCAACATCTCATGAATGATGTATTTCGTGAATTCTTAGACAATTTTGTCGTCTGCTATCTAGACGATATCCTGATCTATTCTAAGAACGTCGAAGAACATGAAATACATGTTCGTCAAGTATTACAAAAACTTAGAGATGCAGGATTGTACGCCAAGATGGAAAAGTGTGTATTTCACACTACTCAAGTTGACTTTTTAGGATACATCATTTCAAATGATGGTCTCATGATGGATTCTAAGAAAGTCCAAACAATTGTGGATTGGAAGATTCCAAGGACAGTAAGAGATGTTCAATGTTTCTTGGGATTTGCCAATTACTATCGGATCTTCATCAAAGATTTCTCATGAGTTGTAGCTCCACTTACATGCTTGACTAGTAAAGATAAATTTCAATGGAATTAAGAAGCGGAAGCAGCATTTGAAGCCTTGAAGACATCGTTTGTCTCTGCACCAGTCTTATATCGTGTTGACTTTTCCAAGGCATTTTTTATGGAAACAGATGCATCAGATTTTGCC